GACATAAAAATGAAGAAATAAAAATAAAGATATTGTGTTCATCTACAACTAAAAAAAAATTTTAAAAAAGAATGCAATAAGGAATGAAAGTCTTCCAATAATCCCCAGAGACCTACCTTTAATGGAATAATGGCTCAAGCTAATGATTATTCATTCTTTCACTAAATGACTAATTATCCAGCCCTGCAATGTGCCAAGTGTGCTGTAGCTGGCTCACAGAGAATCTTGAAAAGCTAATGTACACTTCTCTCCCCAACTCCACATTTAGGGATGTCATGTCGAGAGTTCAAAATCAACTGTGGTGAAACAGTTGCACCATAGTAATCAGCAAATGTTACAAATCAGTGTTGGTTGTTTTTGTTTCTTTTTCCCCAGAGAGTTGATTTACCAACATACCATCCGCCTGCCACTGTGTGGTAGTGGGAAGACAGCAGTGAGCAGAACAGCAAGGTTATTACCCTAAGAGAGCACCTGTTCTAGGAGAGGAAGATCAAAAAAATGATTGATTAACAAGCTATTTTCAGATGGTGAATAGGCTGTGAAAAAATTAAACAGGTGACTTGATCAGCTGCAGGGGTTGGCAAGGTCTTTAAAGGAAGTGACACTTGAACTGTGTCATAAATTTGCAAGAGTGGGCCGGGGTGCAGCCTGGTGGCAGAGCGCTTGCCTCGCACACACGGGCCCTGGGTCCGATCCCCGACACCACATAAAGAAAATAAAAAATATTTCCAAGAGCCAATCTCGCAAACAAACTGGGATATATAGAACAGAGTCTCTATAGAACAGAGACTTCGATACAGTTTTCATTCTCTTTGTGTCAAGTTCCCATTCTAAAAACACCTCCCCGAGCCCCTTTGCCCCAGCCAGCCACTGCCCCTTGCCTTCAAAGCCAAATGCCCAATTCACTTTCTCCACAGCCACCTCTCCTGTCTTGCTCCTACCCTCACCAATACTGCTCTTGTCAAGGTCAAGATCTTGTCAAGGTCATCTGTGTTGCTGAAACCAAGAGTTGACTTTCATCCTTAATCTGAGAGACACTGCTGGTGGCATTTAAAAAAAAAAAAACCACCCAGTCTTTCCTACATGCATTTTATACCTGGCTTCCAGAATCTTGTCCTCTCCTGATTTCCTCTATCTCACCGACTGTCTCTTTTGCTTATCCTTTCCCATCTCCCTGACTTCTAAGTGGTGAAGTGCCCAGGACCCGTCCTTTCCTAACTGTACTTATTCCTCAGAGGTCTCAGAACCCGCAGCTCTAAATGACATCTCTGTGCTGATGGTTTTCAAACTCATGTCACCCTGCCAGATGGCTCACCTGAGTTTATTTGGACATCTGTTGCTTATTTAACATCTTCACCTGAAGCCAAAATGATCCTTTAAAATATGGTTCGTAAATTGTAGCTCCTTCACTTAAAATCCTCTAATAGCATGGAAAGGACCAAAGACAGTCTTTTTAACAAATGGCACTGGGAACAACTGGACATTTATATACAAAAAAACAAATCTAGACACAAACTTTATATGTCAAAAAAAATTTAACTCAAAATGGATCAAATGCAAAACCATAAAACTCCTGGAAGATAACAAGAGGAAGTCAAAATGCCATAGTGGTTGGCAATGGCTTTTCAGATACAGCATCAAGGGTATGATCCATGGAAAAAGGAATAAGTTGAACTTGACTAAAATTAAATTTTTTCTGTTCTGTGAAAGACACTGGCAAAAAATAAATAATAAAAACAGAGAAGCCACAGACTGGGAGACAATATTTTCAAAAGATATCTGATAAAGGACTTGTCTAAAATAATTGAAGAACCCTTAAAACTCAAAGAACAATAAGAAAACTGTCCGATTACAAGATGGGGCAAAGATCTTAATAGACACCCCACCAAAGAAGACATACAGGTGGCAAATAAACTTGTGAAAAGATGCTTCACATCCCAAGACATCAGGGAAATGCAAACTAAAACAACAGTGAGATGCCACTGCACACCTATCACAATGGCCACCAAATGCTGACCAGGATGTAGAGAAACAGGAACTCCCACTTGATGCTCTGGGGAATTCAAAATGGCACTGCCACTTTGGAAGACAGCTTGGCAATTTCTAAACATGCTCTTTTGCTCAAAACTAAACAAACTCTTATCAAACAATCCATCCATTGCTCTCCTCCATCCAGTTAGGAGCAACAGGTATTCCAGGACAGACCCCCTCTGATGGTTGGAGGCTACAGACATCACCAAAAGATTTGGAAGTGACTTAGGTACCGTTCACAGCCATTTCCTTTGAGGGTCATGTCATTTCACACTTTTCTCTTTATGTTGTCGCTTCCTTGTTCCTTTACTCTGTCAAAGCCACGTCCCCCGCTTCTTCCTTTCCTTCTCTTTCTCTGGCTGCCTCCTTCCCCCTCTGCTTTCTCCATGACTTTATGCCACCTGAGCTTCCTGGCGTCTCTCAGGAGCCTGCTGAGTTTGCTAAGTTCCTCTTCCCCGACTCCCTTCAAGTTAGACCTCCTTGCCGCTCCTCACTAAAGTCACCCACTACCATTTTGGACAGTCATACCATTTCCAAGTCTCTGTCTGGGTTACTTTTTCCCTCGGGTGCGTTGCTGTTGCAACGTCTCAGCAGGGTAAGACCCACCTCATCCTTGCCCAGGTGGCGTCTTAAATCCCCACCCACTTCTCTGTTTGCCTGGTTCTGTCCCCAGGAGGAGCGGTCCCTGCTTTATTCTTTGCTGTCTCCCCAGTGACTGGAGCTGTGCCTGCAAACTAGAGATATCCCATTAACAGTGTTGAAACTGGGAGATGGACACAAAATGTGTCTGGTCCCTCCCCTTGTTTTCCTCAGAAGCACACCACTTCATTCAGAAACTCACAGATTGTGGGCGCGTGTGTGTGTGTGTGTGTGTGTGTGTGTGAGAGAGAGAGAGAGAGAGAGAGAGAAGGAGCCAGCCAATATGGCAGACATAATTCAGCCCTTGTCTTCCCACTAGGGTTTTCTCTTCCCATAGTTCTGTGGGGCTATAAATCATGGGTCACACCCTGTCTTCTACAGGGTGGGTACTTGACCAGAGCTGGACAGTCAGTCCTCCTCAAGAGTGTCCCACTAGAGCCAGCTCCAAAGCCGGAGTCTCCTCAATTGGAATCACCAAGCTTCTTTTTAAATGGCCCCTAGTGGTCATCCCTTTCGAAAGCAGAAGAAAATGAGGCCAGTTCTCAAGGAGGAGACAAACGAGGTAAGAGGGAGACAAAGAACCTGAGAAAGAAGACAGGAAAGCCTTCTCAGAGCCCCCGTCAGCCACAGCCAACCTGCTCTATAGCCTTTTCAGGTGGGGAGTGGTCCAGGTATTTCTCCCAAGCTTTGGATCTACTTTCTATCATTTATAGTCCAGAGAATTCTGTCTATTCTTTCCCCATGTCCTGCTCCCTCAGACCGGACCAAACTACATTCTCCACCAGCGTTTCATCCAATGCACCCAAAGAATACTTAGACGTGATGCTACCCTTGGGTGCGGGGTGGTGGTTGGAAGCAGTATGGAGCACAGGGGTGGGGAAGGGACGGGGAGAACACTGTCACATTATGCTTTAATTTAAAGCCTGAAATTGATGAGCAAGGATTTCTACACATGGCCCAGCCTCCTCTCAGGGTTCTGACTGGAGACCAGGTTTCAAGTTCAGCTAACAATAAAATAGTGCTTTTGTTGCTTTTGCCACTGTTCTTTGGGCATCTGCCCTACGTGGATGCATGAAGGACATGGGTGTCTATGGTCTGGGAATAAGGCTCATGTGCTCCTGGGTGCCCTGGGCAAGTTACTGCCATCTGACAGCATGAATCTCAATCGTTATTTTAAAGTGCCACGTGAGAGTTAGTTGGTTGTTATTATTTATTATTTTTATCATAATCATCCCAGCCATCAAAGTCTCATGTGTTAAATTAAGTGAACAAGACCTTACATAAAATGTTGTCCATTAATTTTTCTAACAAGTATTAAGGGAGCTTCTACCAGGTGACAGTCACTTGCTAACCACTGAGATATAGCAATAAACAAACACTCAAGTGGGAAGAGAGAAAACATAAACAAGTAAAAACAATTAGCATGTCAGATAGGGATACGTGTAGTGAGGGAAAATAGGGGTGGCTGTCTTAGAGAGTGGACAGAGCTGTCCTCCTTGTCATGGTGACATTTGAGCAGAGCCCAGAGAGAAATAAGCTGACAAGCTGTGGGGACATGGAGCACTTCCATGCAAAGGCCCCAAGATGGAGACCCACGTGGTCAGAGGGCAGCAAAGGAAAGGAGTTGGTATGGCCTCAGAGGGAGCACATCAACAGGTGGCCACGGGCCTTGGGTCATTTTAGGAATCCACAGGACAGTTTTAAGCAGAGGAGTTTCATGTTCTGTGTTATATTTACAGGGAGTAAATTCTCCTTTGCCCTATAGCCGCCTTCCACTTCCTCTCTCAATTCACATTTCTCGTTTCCTCTTTCTCTCTCTGTATTTTCTTTAGGTCTTCATAATGCTGTTTTCCCCTCTTCTCCCCTTCCCTGTACTTCTTCTCCAGGGTGGGTCACTCCATCCGGGATCCCCCTCACCCCTTTTTAATCTCAGTCTCTTTCTCTCTCTCCCAAGGGACTTTCTGCAGCTAAAAGCCCTGTAGTCCCTCTACAGGACACCACTGCCATCTCTTTGTTTCTCTATCTTCTCTGGGGTGCCCAAGGCCCTCAACCAACACTATTGCTATTCTCCACAGCCCTGCTCACCACAGAGAGGCTCCAAACCATGTCCCTCAGCTGACACAGCAGCTGAGCCTTTGAAAACATTACTGCTATGACCTCCTCCTCCTCCTCCTCCTCCTCCTCCTCCTCCTCCTCCTCCTCCTCCTCCTCCTCCATCATCATTATCAACTTCTTTTTCTTCTTCTTCTTCTTCTTCTTCTTCTTCTTCTTCTTCTTCTTCTTCTTTTCTCTCTCTCTCTCTCTCTCTCTCTCTCTCTCTCTCTCTCTCTCTCTCTCTCTCATACACACACACACACACACACACACATTTTGGGTTTAAAATATATTGACTATAAAGAGAATGCCAGACAGAAACTCTTCGTGCCAAGTGTGTTAAGTATCTCATACACTTTGCCAATTGAAGCCATGTCATTAGCATGAGCCTAGGAATCAGGGCACAGGGGGAAAGCAAGGGCCCCGCGGGAAGGATGGGGGAGGGAAGTTCTCTGACGTGATCACACTGAGCCTGTCCAGGGTTCTAACCAGGAAGAAGCTTCTTGAAGAAGTTGCTGCAGACAAAGGAAACACCAAGTGTGCAGTCTTTGAGCTCTCCAAGATGGGAAAATGGTCTGCTGAGAGCTAGAAGCAGTTTTCGGTCTCCCTGAAGGGGAAATCTGAACATCCTTGACCAGGCTGGTCCTTTGGTTTGGGGAAAACTTACCTCTGTGGTCCTTGGGGTAGGCAGATGGCCTCAGAGAGGAGCCCTGTGACCTTCTCTCTGGTACTATGCCTGCAGTGATGTCAACTTACATGGCAAAAGGGACTTTGCCGATATCAGTGAGGCTACTAATCAGCTGAACGTAAAACAAATCATCCTGGATTATCCAGATGTGCCCAATATAATTGCACAAATCCTAAAAACAGAAAAGAAAGGCAGAGAGATTTTCAGTATGAGTGTTTTAACAAATTCTGGTGTACAGGGTACAAGAACCAGCCATCAAAGACAGAAGGAAGGTGTCAACAGACTGAAGAAAGGCTGACAAATCTAGGATTGTACAAGGTGCCATTTGTTAGGGACTTAGAGACAGAAGCACATCTTGGGCCACAGCAAGGCAGGAAGATCCGCAACCCCAAAGCAGGAGGAAAGGGTTCACAAAGGTAGGCCTTGACAGAATGTACCTGGGCTTTCTCTGTTTACATGTCAAAATGCAGTTAAGAAACTGTCCAACGACATGCTCTACCTTGACAGTACTTAACTTATCCTAAAGGGTCTGAAAAGCTCGATACCAAGATGACCGTAATCACATCAACCTGGATCCCTGTAGCGAGCAAAACACACCATTGTTGGCTTTGAAGATGGAGGGGCTACAAACCAAGGATCACAGACAGCTTCTGGAAGTGGAGAACACCTCCGGCTGTCAGTCAGTGAGGGAGCAGGAACCTCCATCCTACAACCACAGGGAGAACCAGAAGCAGGTTCTTCCCCGCGTCTCCCAAAAACCCAGACTGATGACATCTTCATTCTGGCCTTGTGAGACCCTAAGCAAAGGACTCAGGAGCCCAGCTGGAACTTCTGACCAACAGAATTGTGGGGTAATAAACTGTATTTTTTGAGCTGTTAAATAGTGGTTATCTGTGATGGCAGAAATGGGAAAGAACACATCTCTCTAATTACACACTTATAAAAAGGGGCAAGTTATTAATTTTTACAACAATGCACTAAATTCTGAGATTTCTCAGAACATTTATTTATATAAAAATAAAATACCATTATTTTAAAAGGGAGGGGGATAGTTATGAAACTGTGGGGATATAAAGCTGACTGTGATCATGGAAAGTGTCATTGACAGTGTGGCAAAAGCCACACCTCTGTGTGATGATGTACCTTCTAGAAGAGTCTTTCATTGCCAACTACAGATGGAGACCCTGTGCCAAAGCACCATTTGGTCAACGGAAAAGTGCTCTCTACTCCTAGGTACTCTTGGAGGCTTGACCAAGAGGCCTTTCTGCTTCCTTGGTGAAGGAGAGCCTTTCCTTAGATTTTGATCATATGAAAGGAAATATTCTTTAAACTTTCCTCCGGCTCTTGGTATGGCAGAGGTTAGAGACCTAGTATTATTGGTTAGAACCCACAGAATGTGCATACCCAGAGACAGATTTATTTCAAGGAATTCCTCATATGATTATGGTAAGTCCCAAATCTGCAGGGTGGGTCAAGAGGCTGGGGACCCAGGGAAGAGCTGATGGTGCAGATGAAGTCCAGAGGTCCCTGCTGGCACAATTCCTTCCTGCTCGAGGAAGGTTGGGGTTTTTTGTTTTGTTTTGTTTTGTTTTGTTCTATTAAGGACTTAAAATGATTGGATGAGACCCACCCAAATTATGGATGGAAATCTCTTTTACTCAAAATCCACCATTTCAAATGTCAGTCTTCCAAAACCACCCCCACAGAAACATCTGGAATAATGTTAGCCTGTTATCTGGACACTGTGGTCCAGCCAACTGACACATTATAAGCCACCACACTGTGGGCAGAGAGTGGATTGGTTGGTTTGTTTAAGATATACATGTTTTCTTCAAAGAATAAAAAGCACATTTTAAAAATGCACAGTAAAACTGCATAGAGTTTTAGGGTTAAATACAGATAGAAGTTAAAAGTATAAAAACATTCATGGGAATGCTGAACACTAGATTCAGAGCTACTGTTCTGATACTAAATTTGCCACTGGAAGATAAGGTAGGAGGTATGGTCTAGAGAGCATTAGTAATATTTATTTTTATTAATTGTTCATTATATTTTTCTTTATACATTTTATAGCTTGAGTTATTTGAATTAATTATTTTTAAATGAATATATAAATTATCCAGACAAATTTTTAAAAACAAGAGTAATGGGAGATTAGACTTATTTTTATAAAACCGTGTAATAAAGCATCAATAATTAAAAGTTTATCACTAGTGCATTTATAGACCAGACCATAAAATAGAGCATAAATTCCAGAAATAACCACCAAACATATGAAATAAAAAAATATATTGCTGGGCGCAGTGGTGCATGCTATAATCCCAGCCACTCAGGAGGGTGAGGCAGGAGGATCATGAGTTCAAAGCCAACCTCAGCATCTTAGCAAGGCACTAAGCAACTCAATGAGACCCTGTCTCTAAATACAAAAATGGGCTGAGGATACGGCTCAGTGGTTAAGTGCCCCTGAGTTCAATTCCCCGGTACCAAAAAAAAAAAAATGTATATATACATATATACATATATGTATATATGTAAACAACATACATACACTTAGGTTTCAATTTGGATTAGCAGAACAGTATAAATAATTTGATATATGGTCTCAGAGAGACTAGATAACTTTTGTCTTTACTCTCAAAAAAAAAAAAAGATAGATTTTTAATGTAATGAAAACACTAAGCCGTGAAACAATAAAATGTGAATTTAGTTATGTTATTGACCTAAAGAAGAACTTGATAGCATGATATAACACCATAAAAGAAACATTTATTTATATAAAAATAAAATACCATTATTTTAAAAGGGAGGGGGATAGTTTAATCATCTAGATAAAAACTCAAGGGGAAAAAAAAAAACCAAGAGAAAGGATTTAGAGATGTGTGGCTACTCTTCTTAAATCCGATGAAGTCATTAAGATGATCCAATAGAAAGAAAATGTGTGAAGGAAATAAACAGTTGATTTAAAAAAAATAAAAATAGGGACTGGAGATATAATTCAGTTGGTAGAGTGCTTGCCTTGCATGCACAAGGCCCTGGGTTCAATCCCCAGCACCATAAAATAATAATAATAAATAGTAATAATAATAATAATTAATAAAAATAGACATTAAACATGAGAAATGTACAGCTTTACCAATAATTAAAGCAATTCAGATCAAAACAACTAGATACCATTTTTATTAAATCAGATTTGCAAAAGTTAAATATTTGATTGGTGAGGCTGTGGGGGAAAAGGCCGAGGGAAAAATAAATGAGGCAGACTCTTTAGTGAGTAATTTTGAAATAGCTACCAAAAGGCAAGTATATAGCCTTTGATTCCCCAAGGCCAATTCTTAGGGGTACACTCATACACATATGCAGAGAGGTGGTGTGGAAATGTCCACGCATCGATGACTGACAGCAAACCTATGGAAAGAGCCAATTGTGCGTCAGTAGGTGAGCAGGTATAATAGACACGACCAAAGTCTCCAAAGGTACAAGATCACACTCCTCCAACCTCAGATCTACAGTGAATATGAATTGCTTACGTAATGAAAAAGTTAAATATGTATAGATTAGACATTAACATAGATGATTAATAGGTAGAGGACTAGACAAATGATGATAATGGATGGATGGGTAGGTGGATAAATGGCTATAACTAATGTATAATTATGTTAATCAACTTTCCACTACTGTATCAAATACCTGAGATAATCAACTTATAAACAGAAAAGGTTTGTTTTGCTCACACTTTTGGAGTTATCAGTCTACAGCTGATTGTTCTTGATGCTTTTTTTTTTTTGGGGGGGGGGTACTGGAGACTCAACTCAGGGGCATTTGGCCAAGGAGCCACATCCCCAGCCCTATTTTGTATTTTATTTAGAGACAGGTCTCATTGAGTTGCCTAGCAAGCCTCGCCATTGCTGAGGCTGGCTTTGAACTCCCAATCCTCCTGCCTCAGCCTCCCGAGCTGCTGAGATTACAGGCATGTGCCACTACGCCTGGCTTGATGATTTACCAGCTGGTCTTGTCCCTGAGTGAGTGCCACAATGCTAGGCTTTGCCTGTAGTCAGTCATGCTGTCAAGATTCAAATATTCTCTGGAATTTTTCTTTAGGATCAATTACATACCTTTAAATAACTTCAGAGGGGGTTCCTATTCCTTTTATTTTTCTTTTGAGGGAAACTGCTTGTAAGAAATAAGACAATTTAATTCTGATTCAAGTGTGACATGTAGGTTTCATGATCAAATTAAACAATTTTCTGCAAAGTAAGCCGTGAGAATAGTTTTAAGAAGATGTTTGTTGCTGCTGTGGGTTGAACTGTGTTCCCCAAAAAGATGGGGAATCCCTAGCCCCCAGGACCTCAGAATACAAACCTCATTTGGACATAGGATCATTGCAGATGACTGAAGAGCAGGTCATACTAGGTGGGCTGCTAACCCAATGTGACTCGTGTCCTAATAATAGAAGACAAGAGCTGTGAACCCAGAGGTAGACAGAGAGAAAGCAGCATGACACTGGGACTGTAGTGACACAGCTGCAAGCCGAGGATCCCCAGCAGACGAGACAAGGAAGGATCCTGAGAGCACAGCCCTGCTGACATGGTAGTTTCAGGCTCCAGCTTCGGGAACTGTGGTACAACACATATCTGCAGCTTCACCAGTTGTTGGTGCGGTTACAGGAGCCCGGGGAAGCTAATATAGTTTCCTACACATCACCCATTTCTGTCACCCAGTACTCAGATTCCCGTGTGTGTTTCTCCCTCCTGCACACTATACAGAAAGTGCCTTCCCCCGTGGCCAGGTTGGACTCTGACTGCCTTAGCCAATCAGCATCATTGTCATTGGCTCAGGGATGGATTGTACCTTAAACTGGGCCATTCAGAGTGACTCTTAGGACTCTCACTTAGAATGGCAAACAGAGAGACCAACAGAGAAGAACATGATCCTCTAGACGTGAAGTAGAAAGCAGAAAGCCTGGGTTGCATCTGGCGACAGTCATTTTCAGACGCAGCCAATAGGGCAGGCAACACAGCAGAGACACACAGAGGCCCGGGGCCTTGGAACATCCTTAAACCACTAGGTCCATCTGCCCTGAGAGATCAACCTTGCAGTTAAAGCCTTCAGGGTTTAAGACCACTTGACTTGGATTTTGCGTTCCTTGTCACCCAAAGCTTCCTGGATAACAGAGTGGCCTCATAGGACACCAAATGCCAGCCAAGGGAGAGTGGGATGTTTAAGAGACCCCCTGGAGACCTAGACATGGAGGATACAGGGCTGGAACCACACCCAGAGTCCTAGGCCTGGAAGCTGTGGCCAGATCTCCCCCTGCCTGGTAGCCACATGAAAAGTCATGACCCTGTTGGGAATGGCTTGCACTTCCAGAGCCTGGTGGGACTAGGAAGGGTGTGCATCTCCCAGAGGCCAGAGGTGGGCTGGCCCAAGGGGCAGGAGCAGCTCTACTTGAGGGAGACTCTGTCCTGAAGAAGGGCCTGGAAGCACAGAAGGGGAATGAATCCAAACACAGGAGAAGCCTTGCTTGGAAGTCGGCTGGCCAGCAGAAGGAGTCATCCACCACCTCAAGGGAATGGTTTGATTGCAGGACACCCAGCAGGGGTGGAATTCCCAAAGAGCCCCCAAAAATGTTCCCCCAGAAAATGATTCCACAGCTGGCATCTGCCCCATCCAGAGGGCCAGACTACAATGGCGCAGGTCAAGAGCAGTGTTTCCTGCCCTCACCTCTTCTCCTGTTTCCACTCCAGTCCTGCAGAGACCAAAAGAGCCAGCTGCCAAAGAGGGAAGAGGTTGAGTGTGAAGGGAAAGCTGTCAGACTCCTTCCCCGCTGGCCCCAGACCAAGGCAGGCCCAACTACAGTAGGTGGGGGGTGTTAGTAGGATGA